AACTCGTTCTCGCCCCACTTAGCAAATTGGGATTGAGCTGACACTGCAGTGGACTTCTTTAGCTAAGCTACTTCAACTAACGAGCGGGTGGCAAAGCTATGAGTTTCTGAGCTTGTGCCCAAGGTCTCATACTCCCTCGAAACTTGTTGTTTGCACCTAATTATCTTCATCTTCGTCAGTAGACCCGTCCTTGGTACACAAGCACTCTACCTAAAGTTATTCACGATGCTGGTGAAACTTGCTGTTTCCCAACGGCTTCGTCAAAATTTGCTGGCATGTCCTTGGAGGCTAGATGCTTGACCGTGGTGTAGCCTGCTTCTACGTAGTCGATCACATTGTAGATAGCCAGATTGATGCATCTGGTTTTGTGGTGTCCACTGGAATGTGTCGTAACTTGAACAGCAGCAGTGTTGTCCGTTAACAAGGTTGCAGGACGTTGTACAGGAACTTGTAGCTCTTCTAACAAATTCTGCAGCCACCGAAGGCGATCGGCACAACTGCTCGCAGCAACCATCTCTGCACTGCACGTATCCTAGACTACATTTCCTTGCAACTTACTTTGGTAAGCTTCAACACATCCACGAAGCTTCACTACTTGGCCTGTAATCGATCGACGAGTATCCATATCATTGCCAAGGTCAGCGTCAACGTAGCCAACAATCGACAGCTTCTCCTTCGCCAATTTCTTAGGTAACACTAATCCATACGCAGCAGTTCCTTTCAGATATGCCAACACACGCTGCGCCATCGCAGAGTAAGTCAACAGTGTAGTAATCCAAAATCTTACTCAGAACTCGAACCGAATTTGCAATATCTGGTCGCGTGCAACGCACCAAATATTGAAGTGACTCCACTATTTGCCGATAAGGAAGATCCTTCCCGTTCACGTCAGCTCCGTAAGGTTTCACAGGTTCCAATGGAGAGACTTTCGTATCCATCGGCGTACGTGTAAAGCGCATTCCACTGTCAGCAAACATTTCAACGATGTGTCGTATGTATGACTCTTGCGAAAGTGTGACCCTATCTGGTTCATCTCCCACTCCCATCGCTAGCAGTAAGTTAATCTCCCCCAAATCTTTGAGTTTAAACTTCTTCTTCAACTAATAGATTAACCAAGTAATGTGCTCGGCCTTTGCCGCGATCACCACATCGTCTACGTAAACTGTTAAGAATATTGGAGATCCATCTTCCCATTTGACATATACGCTATCCGCTATGTCGCTCACGGTGAAGCCTAGCTTCATCAAATACTTCTTAAGTGTTGCATTCCAGATGAGTGGCGCCTGCTTCAAGCCATACAGGCTTTTCTTCAACAGACATACACGCTCACTGCCATCATCACACATCTCTGGTTGTTCCATGTAGACGTCTACGTCCATATCCCCATTACGAAAAGCAGTAGCAAAGTCAATCAGCTGGAGATCTAGATCGTAGTAGAATGCAACACTATAATCAGACGAATGGCCTTCATACTAACCACTGGAGAGTACACTTCCCAATTGTCAGACCCAAACACTTGCTCACAGCCACGGAGCGTCAGCCGGGCCTTGTGGCTTTCAATTTCCCCATATTGGTTCCGCTTAATCACGAGTACCCACCCACTAGTCATCACTTTTGTGTTGGGTGGACGTTTCACTAGCAGCCACGTTTCGTTCGCCTGGGTGGACCTAAATTCCGCTTCTACCTACTTATCGCGATCAGGGCTTGCCAATGCAGCACGCACAGATTTAGGTAGCTTATCCGTAGTCGAAATAAAGTAGTTGGCTAGATCGTACTCATGTAGCCTTATATTTGACAGGCGTAAACGTTGGGAGCGTCGAAGAGGTACGGCCTCTTCTCATTTCTTCGCCCATCGAGTGGTTTTTCACCTCCACTAATACAGGTTTCTTCTTCTTTCGTGTCTTTGTATGCAGATTTTCGTCACTTGGTACATTCCCAATTGAATCATCTCCAGCATCACCTCTCGGTGTCAGCTCCCCCGTCGTGCTCCGCTTAGTATCCCTCAAGTCAGACTTACCCAGCTCAAATTCACTAGCGTTCCTCTTCCTCCCATTCACCTCGCCTCCATCCATGCTTGCACCCTCAGCAAAGTCATTGCGACAGCAGGGTGACCTTTTTGTCACTACACGAGCTCGAGGAATCATGCATAGGTAACGTCACGCAAGGTATCGGAACAGGTAGCACCATACCAGACTTTTTGCCAAAGAACTTTTCAATTAC